AAGTCGTGTGATTACCGTGATATGATTATGAGCAATAAATTGTGCTCGAAACGTCATCAGTAAACATTACTGTATGACACTGTGAGACTATGTCAAAACAAAATTTACCCATAATGGAATTACACTCTACCACAGTGCACAAGTTTTATTCTAATATCAATGCTTTTATCAATCCTTGTTACGAATACCCTGCAATATTATTTTTTGTTTTTGTTCTTGATATTTTCAAGTAAGTTCGATGCATTACTGTACGAAATGCTGGGAATTCTACACTATATCATAAGTAATGTTTTGGAATCAAGCAAATTATTGTAATATTATTATTATCATCCCCACAGAAGTCGTGAGTCGTCACAAACACAGTTGTTGATATTAGTCAATGCACAAAGGGAGTCGAATAAGTGTATTAGAGTTACGCAGTAAGATGAATAATTTAATGAGTGACTTGTGATCACAATGCACATAGAAACGAGGGAAAATATGGAATTACTTAAGAACAAACATCAGATCAGTGGAAATGAACATGGTTGTTACCATGATCGTAAAAGCGGTTGTATAATTTTCTTTTGTATGCATAGCTGAGGATTTTCTAACTGAATGGTTGAAGCTTCATCAGTGCAAAGAAGACAAAAACGTATTACCTTTGGTAGGTTATTTTTCACTTGGTAGATTACTTTGAAGGAGGTGTTTATTGAGACGGAATGGCCAGTGTTGACAAGGTGTTCGATTATCGCACTCCTTATAGAATCACTGCTACTTTTCTGCGACCATGCGGGATAGTGTTCTTGAACCCTTTTAGACAGGATACACGTCGAACAACCAATGTACCTGGCTCCAGAGCAACAGCTCAATTGATATACGCACATAGAAGTAGTGAGATGCTACATGTTGTCCTTCAGGCTTTTGCAGATCAATGAACGACTGAAGAACACTACTCTTAGAGTTGCTACGAAGACTGCTGAAATTCTACTCTTAAGGATATCGAAGATTAAGTACCTCTTAAATTGTAGATTCTGTGTTGGAACAAGTAGTGTTTCTTTCCTCTGAATTTATGGTTTAATATTCTTGTCAAAGAATCTAGGTGGGTATCCATTTTGGGTGAAAGTTTCTTTCAGAAGATTTAGTTCTGCTCCTGGGACGCCAGGACTACAGATGCATCGAACGCAAGTGGTAACGGATTTAAATTAATTTCGTTTTCGTTCAACAGCCACCCAACTGTAGAAGCTCGTTAGTTGACAGTTCCAAGTGAGTTTTCTATGAATTAGCCTTCATAAGATTCCGTTGGGTTTCCTTGTTAGTTTTACGCCAAGAAAGGGAATTTCGGATTGGTTTTCCATTTCTAGAATGAGTTTTAATGCTGGATAATAGTTGTTAAATGCTTGTAGCAACCAGCTGGGTTCATAACTATTGTCGCAAATGATGAAAATGTCATCTAAGTACCTCGTATACAGTTTTTGATTTGAGTCTTTACTTGATAAGACTGAATACTAGCCTTTGCGTAAGTTGTGAGGTACAGAGTATGTGGCGACCTGAAAACATATCAAATTATATGTTCACGGAAAAAAGGAAGGAATTGAACCTGAACCTTGAACCGCGCGCAAGGAACGAATCGTTCGCCCTCTCTCCGGCTGCTCGCCCAGCACATCTGCTGACCAACGCTGTCTCGCACTGGTTGACACATCCCCTTCGAGAACTTCGCTCCTATCTGCCGTACTCTACGTGGAGACTTCCGACGGTTGACAGCGCTAAGTTGTAGTGGAGAATTTGTATAATCAAGAGAAGGACAATTACATTCCTATAATTTCGTACGTCTATAATTTGTGTATTTTGTGACTGTTATAGTTTTCTTCAAATAACCTCAGTCCCTTTTTTGTGTATATTAACTTAAGTGAACCGAATATTATATATATACGTATTTGTTAGTACTTGTTCTCTCCTTTTAATTGCGTTTATATACTTACCTAGCTACTAGGTCCACTACACTTAATTGGTGAGCCCGACGTGATAATCGTTCGCCCTCTCTCCGGCTGCTCGCCCAGCACATCTGCTGACCAACGCTGTCTCGCACTGGTTGACACATCCCCTTCGAGAACTTCGCTCCTATCTGCCGTACTCTACGTGGAGACTTCCGACGGTTGACAGCGCTAAGTTGTAGTGGAGAATTTGTATAATCAAGAGAAGGACAATTACATTCCTATAATTTCGTACGTCTATAATTTGTGTATTTTGTGACTGTTATAGTTTTCTTCAAATAACCTCAGTCCCTTTTTTGTGTATATTAACTTAAGTGAACCGAATATTATATATATACGTATTTGTTAGTACTTGTTCTCTCCTTTTAATTGCGTTTATATACTTACCTAGCTACTAGGTCCACTACACTTAATTGGTGAGCCCGTTTTGGAACAC